TAAGAGCAGTAGTAACACATGTTATCGTTCTCCAACAACCTGTTTCATTGTACCTTAAGAGCAGTAGTAACACATGTTATCGTTCTCCAACAACCTGTTTCATTGTACCTTAAGAGCAGTAGTAACACATGTTATCGTTCTCCAATAACCTGTTTCATTGTACCTTAAGAGCAGTAGTAACATATGTTATCGTTCTCCAACAACCTGTTTCATTGTACCTTAAGAGCAGTAATAACACATGTTATCGTTCTCCAATAACCTGTTTCATTGTACCTTAAGAGCAGTAGTAACATGTGTCAACGTTCTCCAGTAGCAGTAGTAACATATGCCACTGTTCTTCAACAGCAGCAGTGACATATGTGAACGTTATCCAGTAGCAGTAGTGGCATATGTCACTGTTATTCAACAGCAGCAGTGACATGTTTCATCGTTCTCCAGCAGCAGTAGTAACATGTGTCAACGTTCTCCAGTAGCAGTAGTAACATATGCCACTGTTCTTCAACAGCAGCAGTGACATATGTGAACGTTATCCAGTAGCAGTAGTGGCATATGTCACTGTTATTCAACAGCAGCAGTGACATGTTTCATCGTTCTCCAGTAGCAGAAGTAACATGTGTCAACGTTCTCCAGTAGCAGTAGTAACATGTGTCATGTTCTCCTGTAGCAGTAGTGACATATGTCATTATTCTTCAAAATTTTGATAAATGTCAAAATGTGCCTGGGCATGGCCGTTTGGTTAGCTTGCTAGCTGTGTATCGAAAGGTCCAAGGTTTAAGTCGTGATGGCACTAAACAAGCTCCATATTTTAAACAGTAAATGCGATATAAAACTGACAGTCACTTCCGCCATTCGGTTCAATGAACTCTATATAACCCTTGTGTTAGCGGGTATAGCTGTCAATGAACTATATAATAACCCTTGTGTCAGCAGGTATACCTATCAATGAACTCTATATAACCCTTATGTCAACAGGTCAGGCTGCCTTTTCTCTGTTCAATAGTTCAAAATTAGGGACAGCTAAGACTGAACTCTAGAGGTCTCTGACCTGGCCGTTTAGCAGCAGG